CATATTTTGTTTACACGGCATATCTGTGAAACGAACTGTATATATTCATGTTAACAAAATATGCTAGCTTTATTAAAAGCAGTAACATAATTTAAGTATCAAAAAAAAGATCAATGACACAAGCATTGTATTATAAATAACTTGAGGGTTTTTGCATTAAATAATACAGTCTCCTTTGTCTTTCATTCAAACACATGATAAATTTTAGTTTAAATCTGCTTTATGGTGCTTCTCATGGAAAAAATGGATCAACAGTTATCACATAATTAATTGATTCGTTTAGCAATTTACGAAATGTGATAAGAAAGTATTTGGACACAAATAGACAAGAAGTTTTAAGTAATAAAATAATTAATAATTAAATTAAATTAAAAAAACAATTGAAACAGTTTTCAATATTTTTTTGTTTTCAATTCAAACGAGGATTTAAACCAATTTACCAGCTAACCAGAAGACAATGAAAACAAAAATTAATGATGGACCTTTATAAATGTAAATTTTAAATTAATGTATCATGTAGGTACTACTTACTTATGAGACAATATTAAAATATCCTAATTTGTCATTTTCAGAACAAAATTTATAGGAGATAAAGTTTATAAAATAGCTTATTATATGCCTGTTATCTAAAGATAAGAAAATAATATTATAAAAAATCCCTTTAATCCCACTATATTACATCATTAATAAGTAAAGGGTAAATTCATTGCATTTTGTCAATAATTTTAAGATGCAGTTACTTTTAAGGGTTCAGTTTTAACCAGTCAATCTATAAATTAACTGGGATGAACTACAATAAGGGAATTGAAGACCAACTATGAGGGTTGTGACGCAAACAGTTAAACCGGGTAGGTACTGAGCTTTTTCACTTACCAATTTTGATTTATCTCAAGTAGAGGTCTTAATGTATCCTTTTTTCGATTTCAAAAGTCTAATGCACGTAAACTGAACACAGGCACTAAATCAACTCATAAACGACGTGTAATTTCAATTAATGCTATAACGCAAGCGGCAATAAATACGTAAGATTATTACAAAAACACGAACACATTCAAAACCAAGCTGCAGCACAGGACAACAAAAAACAAAAGTATTGACTATGGCAGCTGGATCATTCAAACGGGTGGGGAAAGCACGAAAGACCCTCCAAAATTTTTACGCATGCGTTCGTCGATTTCTTTCTAATCATTGGCTAGAGATATTTTCAATTTAAATTCAAATTAATTTAAATTTATATTATAGTTTTCGTTATGTTAAAACTGTATAAAATTTAACNTCTCATTTTTTTTATTTGTCCCTAAAAGGGCAATGTCTGTCTGTAATTTTTACTATTCAAAAGTTAAAATGTAAATGTATATTGAATAAAATCACCCCGCCGTTTGGTTTGATATTTTCAGGTTAATTAGGTATTTTGTTATTAAAACATTTCGAATAAATTAAAAATATATACCTTGTGTTGCCATCTACATGCTACTACTTAAACAGAGAATGTTAAAAGACGAAATATACTGAAAACTTTTTACTAGTTCATTAAAATCCATTCTTCAAATCAATAACAAACAAAACAATTTTGAAAACCAAATACGGTCTATAAAGTGAAACTTCTTCTCAAAATTATAAATCTAAACGTTTCCAAATGTTTGGTGGACATAATAAGGATAAAACTTAATCAGTCTTTTGTATTTAACGTGAATTTAGATTTATAATGTTTAATATTACCCTTAATTACCCTATCACAATTATTTAAGATAGTCAATTTCTTGAATTTCAAAAAAAAAAAAAAACTGACTGTAGAACAATTATCCTAAACAGATTGACGTTGTATATAGTATAAAAACAAATGCCTTATCATTTACGTTATCGTGTTATTTAACTCATTATTGCTTAAACATAACAGTTTGTTTTATATATTGGCGGTGTAAAACTTTAATCGCATTGGTTGCGACAACGCAACACAGTGCAGTATATTTTAGTAAAGTATGGATTACTTTATCGGCGTAGATGTGGGAACGGGTAGTGTGAGAGCCGCATTAGTCGCGAAAAACGGGAAAGTGGCAAAAGCTGCGGTGGAAAATCTAAAAACATGGAATCCTCAACCGGACTTCTACGAACAGTCTTCAGATGATGTGTGGAATTGCTGTAAAAAGGTTATCAAGGTATGTTCTCGGCTTATCAACTGATCGTCACCGCGCACTCTAAAGAAGAACGAGAAAATCTTCGGAAAATTATCCAATTTTGTTATTTACAGGAAGTTGTAAAAGACATACCAATAAATTATGTAAAAGGTATTGGATTTGATGCTACCTGTTCGTTAGTTGTTTTAAACAAGGACATGAAGCCTCTCTCTGCGAGTTTAGAAGGTATATGAGAGATGTCTCTAATTGATTATTATTTTAATTACCGCGTAAGAAAATCAAGTTTAAACGTTTTCAAAAGTGTAACTGAAATTTCAAAAAGTTTAATTATTTTATAAAGTTGACACAAATTCATTTTTAATCGAGTATTTCTTACAAGTGCCGACCTACTAATTTAGTTTTTCTTGGACAGTACTTAACTCTAACGATAAGGTCAACCAGTTAAAAACCGTATAATGTTAAATGTATATGAAATAGCAAAAAATCTATCGATGACAAGGTATTAATTTCCAATTTCAATCGCACTGTTCAAAACATAGTGTTAAAAAATCATTAAAAGGAAATTTCGGAAACAAACAACAAACAGCACATATTTAATTAAGTTTTCATAAAACTTAGCTTATTCAAGTATATGATCCATACGTATTATAACATACTTTAAATGTTCAAAATTATCCCCATCCTATCCAAAGCATTGTATGGAAACGCTATTGATATATATCTAACGTTTTATTTTTGGATATTTGCTTTGGCTTAGGGCAATGCAAAATAAGTTTTGACCTCGTATTATCAACAATTATATCATCAAATTTTATCTCAAGTTTTTTTTTTATGTACAATTACCCAATTTACAGCGGTTTAGGAAGACAATATAATTTTACATCATCGAAGGGCCGCATTTAGTAATAATTAAAATAGATCTTTTATAATGAATAACAACACAATTACCTGGCAAAAATAATTAAAAATCCAATCGACTTTAAAATAAATTAAATTGGGAATCAATAAGTCAATAACATTATTATAAAAGGCGTGATACTATATGTAGTCATAAGATAATTAAAAGGGATGAAGCTTTATATTTTAAACACCACTGTTTTTCATATAAGTATTTAATAAATAAACTATTGAAGGCACTTCCGAGCAAAACATAATTTTGTGGATGGATCATAGAGCAGTTAAAGAAGCTAATTTTATAAATGATTTAAAACATCCCGTGCTTAGATTTGTCGGAGGAAAAGTCTCTTTGGAAATGGAAATTCCAAAACTTTTATGGTTGAAAACACATCTTCGTCAGGAATGTTGGGATCAAGCGGGTGCATTTTTTGATTTGCCTGATTTTTTAACTTGGAAAGCTACTGGCTGTGATACTAGGTAAAAATGAAAAATTAAACACTAAATCTGTTTTATATTATCATTTAAAAACACGTAAAAGGTGGTGAATTAGTTGTAAATTAAAATAAATATTTCTGTTTTCAACATTTATCTCAAATTCAAGACTGACAATGGTTAGATTAGAAATAAGCGAATTTTGAATACTTGTTTCACAACAAAATCAAAAATAAAAAACTTTAAAAGTTGCAATTTAATTTTGAATCTATACATATAGGTCATTATGTTCTTTGGTTTGTAAATGGAATTATGAAATCCAACCTGATGGAGCTGGACAATGGAATCGGGAATACTTGCTAAAAATAGGATTAGAGGATTTAGTTGAGGATAATTTTAAAAAAATAGGTTCAATTGTTATTCCACCAGGGACGCCGGTAGGAAACGGACTTTCTGCAGCTGTTGCTAAAGAACTGGGATTGAATGCGGGCATCCCTGTTGGAACATCCTTAATAGATGCTCATGCAGGTGGTTTGGGAATGATAGGATGTAGAGCAGACGGAATTTTAGAAGAATTTCATTCCAAAATAGGTAAACAATTGATGTTTCAAGAGGTGATATTGATGATTGGTTTTTAATATATTTAAGGTTTAATTTGTGGAACATCTACTTGTCACATGGCTGTCTCAAAAGACCCAGTATTTTGCCCAGGGGTCTGGGGACCTTATTACAGTGCAATGGTACCTAACATGTGGCTCAATGAAGGAGGTCAAAGTGCAACCGGAAAACTGATAGATTTTGTAATAGACAGTCACCCTGCCACGACGAAAATTAAAGAAAAATCAAAAGAAAGGTATGAAAAACAATAATAATTTTTGAAGAATAGTAGTAGTTAAATTTTTCAACTTTCGGTATGCTAGTAGTTTCCTAGATGTCTAAAATCGGTCACGTCATGTAACTTTTCGTCTCCTATCTTTATATTCGCTCTTTCCCTACTTTCATTTTCCTTGCATACCAGTATTATTGATTTACTTTTATTTATATTCATACAGTACTGTTAATTTAAATTAAAAAGAAGATAATTTAGTTTGTAAGATTGATTTTAGTAACTTTACTCAAATTTCTAGTGATGCTCCATTATGATCTGTGAAGCTCTCCCTTCGTTTTCATGTATTTTTAAATTACACAAAATATGACTGTTATTTTCTTTCAACAAAATGAAATTTGTATTCCAGACATATTCAGAATTATTTAAATGACGTATTAAAAGATATGGCTAAAAGACAAAACTTACCTTGTGTTGCATTTTTAACGAAAGAACTCCACATTTGGCCGGATTTTCACGGAAATCGTTCACCACTAGCTGACCCTTCGTTAAAGGGAATGGTAATTATCTGAAATAATAAGTTAAATTATTTAAAACGTAAGTATTTTTTAGATTTCAGGGTTGACATTATCAAATGACGAAGAAAATTTGGCGATATTATATTTAGCAACAGTTCAAGCACTTTCTGTAAGCGAATTTTATTGCAAAAATAGGTTTACGTAAATGAAAGAAAACCAGTCTGAGTATATTTCAAGTCAAAAACTACTTTGAATTACAATCTCCCAACGTTTCGCCTTCAGATGGGAGCCTTCCTCACAGGTAACTCTGTGTTGTTAATTAAAACAGGTGCATTACAAACTACCTTTTTAATCTTCTTCTGAAGTAGCCATAGTAATAATGAATTATAACGCATCTTTTTTAACTAACTATGGAACTACCTTGAAGAAACCATCCATCTGGGGGAGAAACGTCAGGAGATTGTAAATTTAAAGTAGCTTTTAACCTGAACTAGTTCAAAGTGGTTTTCTTTCAACTAAATGTCATCAGGAAAAATGATGGATAATAACTAAGTACTTAACTGTTTTCATTATTTTTAGTATGGCACAAAGTACATAATAGAATCTCTTGTAAAATCGGGTCATTCTGCAATAAAAACCATCCTCATATGTGGGGGGTTAAGTAAAAATTCACTTTTTACTCAAGTACAGGCTGATGTGGTAAATTTACCCGTGGTTTGCCCCGACGAACCCGAATCGGTATTACTGGGATCAGCTATTTTAGGAGCGTGTGCAGCTGGTACATTTCCCGATATTCGAACAGCTATTTCATCAATGGGAGGAACGGGAAAAGTTATAAAACCTGATAGCGCTACAATCGATTTCCATGCGCGAAAATACAAAGTTTTCTTGAAGATGGTCGAAGATCAACGTCTGTACAGAAATATCATGGATTCATGAATACTATTTGTTTAGTAAAAAAACACATTTATTAATTTTGGTTTATGTAAAAGAAATGTAAACAATAAATAAACAACAAAAGTTGAGTTTGTAATTTTTCCAGTTATTGAACAACCTAAGTTTTAAAATTTCGATCTTAATTTTCACATATGCCCTATAATTAAGAAATAAAAATATTTTAATAGATTCATTAGGGTATAAAGAAATAAATTTGTTGTTTGAATTGTCCCTACAAAATATTAATATTTAAACAAATATTTTATACGTTTATGTTTTAATTACAAAAATTGAATTAAATTCTGTAAAAATAATTGTACGTTATTAAAACATAAGAAAGTATCACAAAGAGAGAACTCCCTTTTATCAATTAATAAATTAAAATAGTGAATAAATTAATAATATGATTATATTTATGATCTACAAATTCCATCTTTGTCTCGTTTTTGATCAGGTCCACACTGTTCGTACTCGGCTCCTAACAGCAGCATGTCTTCATCTTTTTCGGATCCTTTAATTTTTTCATTTTTAGAATTTTCAGTGAGGTTTTTCTTCTGCGACTTTTTTTCAGAGAATCCTTTATCTTTCTTTATGGTTCCATTTTTGGACAATTGTGCGTGTGCGTTTTCAACTGGTACTGAAATCACAAACGCCTTCATATTTCTTCTTAGCCCGCGAGTACGTTGCCCATGAGACCTAGTTATGGGAATATCGACCTCATGAACTTCCGAACTGTCCTCAGCGTTTACTGTGATAACACCGTTTCCGAGTTTTCCAAGTCTTTCAATCGTTTTTCCAATATCTACGTGATAAGGAGCAGTTTTCATTTCTTTAAAATGATCGGTGGTGTCAATTACAGCATGCTCTTCGTCTTCTTCGTGATGTTGCTCAATTCCATCCTTTTTGACATTGTATTTACGTTTCTTTGAAGGGACTGCTTTAGACAGGAGTTCTAAAAGACCTAAGGCAGCTATATCGGCAGGGCTACTGCTCGGAGGTGCTGTTGGGGTCGCTGATAACGCTGGTATGATAAGGATAACAAAATTTTGCAAATCTGCTCTTACATTCCACTGTCCTTCTTGACGCTGATCGTATTTAATTTTTCCATTCCCTTCGTCGTATTTTACTCTTCTTGGACTAATTGGGGACGAATTTGAAACACAAATTACCGACAAAAACAAAAACGTGACAATGATGATATTCATGATGATGTTGGTTGTTTGAAGACCTACGACAAACTGGCAAACTGCTTGTGTTACTGCTTCTTTTCTTCAGGAACTTCCGCAGCTTCGATGACCTCCGTCATGTGTTCGTAAACGTACATGTACACAGATTCCACTTGGTAATCACTGGAGGTGGATAAGAAGATCCAGTGGCCGTAACGGGAGTTTTTTTGCCCCCATAAAAAGTTTTGGTCGCGGAAAGAAAACAAAATACACCGTTCCGTTTACCATAAGATTACTGTTATTTAACCCAGAGGCGTCTTAGGGACGCATATAAATCTAGTATTACATACGCTATTACATAAGTTTGCTTATGTAAACTTGAACTTGCGTTTGGAGGAAGATTTGGTTAGCAATTGAAAGAACGACTATAAGTGGTGTGTACGTTTTTAAACCTCTTAGAACTATTAATTAGGCATCTTCCATTCGAAGAAGATGAAAAATAGCACTCATTCACCGTTTCAAATGTATAAATTGGGTATCATTTATAAGATTGAACTTCTCAGCTCTAAGGTACCGTTGTTTGTCGGAATTTTCTAAAGACGCTGTAAGAAAAATGCGCAATTTGATTTCAATTCACGCGTTAGTCGTAAGTCTTGAAAATAAGAAATTTAAACAATTAAATTAACATGATATACGTCAAGTTTTTGATCAAGAAAAGTTTTGAAAATTAACAAATACAAATATACTTGAAAATCAGTAAATACAACTCATTTATAATGTATTTTAAATGTATTTTAAAATACCATCAAAAAGGAATACGTTTTGGTTATTCAAAAGTAAAAAAACGTTTTATTTTATACCTGATTTGTTCGTCAAGCTGACTTACACTTAAAGCTTACAGGTGCATGAATAATTTTAATGAGGAAAAGCTCCGTACTCCTTTATTATGTCGTCTTGTGACTGTCAACAACTATTGTCTCCTATCATATAAAAAATAGATTAATTTTTTTAACAACGTGTGTATCTATTAAATTTTTTTTCAACAACGTGTGTATTAATTACTAAATTATAAAGCCGGTTGTATGGTGAAATAAAACAATTTCCTTATTATTTAAAAAATAATTAACGAGAACAATATGTGCGTATCTCACACGACATATAAAAATATATAGAATATGAGTTTTAAGTGGTAAAGGTCACACGTAATCGAAGGTCTTTACCATATTTTGTTGTCATTTTTGTATCATCTATTTGTTATACAGACTTAATTGTCTATTCGTAAATAGTATGACGGTTTTAAGAGAAGAAATAAGTATGTAAAATGCTCATAATAATACATAAATTATTGCATGAAAAAAATTTGTCATCAACGCTAATTAATTTTCCACAATAACTTAGCACTGATTTATTTAATATTCAAAAAAATATCAATAAAAGAAAATTTAACAAACGGTCAGGGACTTATAAGTAGAATTTTGAATTTTGGTATTTACTTAGGTGTTGTGAAAATTAAAAAACTCTGTAAAACTCAAATATCACAGTGAGTTTATTCGTTTAATAAATTAAAAATAATATTTACAGCATTTCTATATCCTGAAGGGTTGCAAAAATTAAATTGAAATGATAATAACTTGGCAAATAGAATTTTGTTCTGTGTATTTAAAATATTGTACATATGCATATGTAAACAAATAAAAATTAAAATATATACTGACGAATGAATTTAAGTTAACGTGAAAATTCAATTTTAAAGAAGTCTCATGTTGGTTGAATATTTAACAATTCATACATATTATATTTACCAAAATATTATAAGTAATTCTTTCTACTGCATATAAAAAGATTAAAACTATGGTAAATATTAATTTATAACGTACTTTATTTCGTTTCAAAAATCACAAAGTTATTTACAAAGTTGAGTTTATTTAAATAAGTCTTTCATTATGCTCTATATCGTTTATATCATTTTTTTATCTTAGTTCCAGTTAATTACTGTTGAGCTTCACCTTCTTGTCTTCGAAACTTAGCTGCAAGACCGGATGCTAATCGTGTAATATCAAATCTAGAAAAAAAAAATAATCTCCTGACATATTAACGAAACATTTACCTAGATAAAGGGCTAGAAATAATTGAATAGGAAGTTTATTGTGTTTAACAAAACTATTTTAAACAAATTCCTTACGAAAGTTGAGGAACGGGTTTTCTTATTCTCCTGCAACGTCCTCTTTTATCCCTAGCAAATCCAACTGAGCATTTTCTATAGTGCATTACTTCTCCTAGAACAATTGATGGATTTTCGTCATCTCCACTAGGTTCATTATTAGACTGTAAAACATGTATGATAGAATCTTGTCCATTGTCTAAACTATCTTCCTGATTTTCTGTTGTTTTCTTCGGAATTTCAGTTTGAGCATTTGAACTCGATTGAGATTCATCCTGTTGTTTTAGAATAGTTGAGATCGTTGAAGTTTGTTTAAGGGATTGTTGTGTAACGCTTGAAGGAGAGGAACTCGATCTTTGACTGGTAATTTCTAATTTTACAGTTGTGGATTTCGGGGAGGTGGATGATATTGTAATTGGTGGAAGATTAGGTGTAATGGAAGATGTTGGTAAAGAATTATGAGTAGTTGGTTTGTTGTAAGGACCATCATGATGAGTTGGTACGAAAATCTGATTAACCACCGGCTTTTGAGGGACATGATGATTTTCGGGACGGATTGTAGGAAGATGGGATGTTGCTTTCGTTGTGGTGGTAAGAATCGCAGTCGATGTTTTTGGAGATGAAAGGTTCTGGGATGTAGAAGGTACTGCTGTCGAAGTCGGTTTAGAAGTGGACGAAGACGGCTTTATTGTCAAGTCTGAGTAGTCATAATTATATTCGTAATCCTAAAATGACACCAAAGTATGTGTTAAGATATTTTTTGATTGTGAAAATTAGTTTAGCATTGGTTTTGTTGAAAATAAAAAAAAATCATTACACAGTAAAAATGAAACTTTGGAAAATTGAATTAGATATCGCATTTCAATCAATTTCCGACAAATAAAGTTATTAAATTATGCTTACCCCCAGGTCACTAAAAGCTTCATCTGCCACTACAGCAATCACATTAAAATCTTTTAGGTGCAGTTGTATATTATATTCGCCAGTTTGCTTTTGATCAAACGTGGTGGATTGTTGCCCTGAAGATTTTGATCTACTTCGAGGTGCGGTTTCCACGTTTATTAATAAAAATGAAAACAAATAGTGAAGCGCAAACAATAATGTGCTTTTATAAAACATTTTCCCTTTTGTAAAAATCTATCGCATTCGAACTTTATTACTTTGCAGCTGCAGTAAGTGCAGTGCAAGAAGATCTTTGCAATAATGATCGTACCACAGCTCCATCAGAAGCATCTTTAAGACCAAGGTGGGAGTTTCTTGTACAAAGAACCGCTACAAGGAAGGTAGCATAAGGTCCTCGAACTCTATAAATATTACCTTGTGAAGGCTTATTTGGATTCAGTTCGAATTGCATGGATTAACTAACTGTTATCCTATGCCTACAGCAAATGGGAAAGAGGCAAATTTAATTTCTTCTCCGAAATGCCTAAAATGTAACTTTGATATACATACGACCTTATTTCGGTCTCTGAATTTAAATGAAAACCAATAAAAGTATTTACGAAAATTAAAAAATTTTTAAAGACTTAATTAATACGTACTGCTAAGGATTATGTAAATGAAAAATTACAGTAATTAGAGTCTTCAGTTTCATTTACAAATCTAGAATATCAATTTATTTATTAATATATAATCATTCAAACTATGGTTGAAATACGAGAACAATATGTGCGTATCTCACACGACATATAAAAATATATAGAATATGAGTTTTAAGTGGTAAAGGTCACACGTAATCGAAGGTCTTTACCATATTTTGTTGTCATTTTTGTATCATCTATTTGTTATACAGACTTAATTGTCTATTCGTAAATAGTATGACGGTTTTAAGAGAAGAAATAAGTATGTAAAATGCTCATAATAATACATAAATTATTGCATGAAAAAAATTTGTCATCAACGCTAATTAATTTTCCACAATAACTTAGCACTGATTTATTTAATATTCAAAAAAATATCAATAAAAGAAAATTTAACAAACAGAACAATTATCCTAAACAGATTGACGTTGTATATAGTATAAAAACAAATGCCTTATCATTTACGTTATCGTGTTATTTAACTCATTATTGCTTAAACATAACAGTTTGTTTTATATATTGGCGGTGTAAAACTTTAATCGCATTGGTTGCGACAACGCAACACAGTGCAGTATATTTTAGTAAAGTATGGATTACTTTATCGGCGTAGATGTGGGAACGGGTAGTGTGAGAGCCGCATTAGTCGCGAAAAACGGGAAAGTGGCAAAAGCTGCGGTGGAAAATCTAAAAACATGGAATCCTCAACCGGACTTCTACGAACAGTCTTCAGATGATGTGTGGAATTGCTGTAAAAAGGTTATCAAGGTATGTTCTCGGCTTATCAACTGATCGTCACCGCGCACTCTAAAGAAGAACGAGAAAATCTTCGGAAAATTATCCAATTTTGTTATTTACAGGAAGTTGTAAAAGACATACCAATAAATTATGTAAAAGGTATTGGATTTGATGCTACCTGTTCGTTAGTTGTTTTAAACAAGGACATGAAGCCTCTCTCTGCGAGTTTAGAAGGTATATGAGAGATGTCTCTAATTGATTATTATTTTAATTACCGCGTAAGAAAATCAAGTTTAAACGTTTTCAAAAGTGTAACTGAAATTTCAAAAAGTTTAATTATTTTATAAAGTTGACACAAATTCATTTTTAATCGAGTATTTCTTACAAGTGCCGACCTACTAATTTAGTTTTTCTTGGACAGTACTTAACTCTAACGATAAGGTCAACCAGTTAAAAACCGTATAATGTTAAATGTATATGAAATAGCAAAAAATCTATCGATGACAAGGTATTAATTTCCAATTTCAATCGCACTGTTCAAAACATAGTGTTAAAAAATCATTAAAAGGAAATTTCGGAAACAAACAACAAACAGCACATATTTAATTAAGTTTTCATAAAACTTAGCTTATTCAAGTATATGATCCATACGTATTATAACATACTTTAAATGTTCAAAATTATCCCCATCCTATCCAAAGCATTGTATGGAAACGCTATTGATATATATCTAACGTTTTATTTTTGGATATTTGCTTTGGCTTAGGGCAATGCAAAATAAGTTTTGACCTCGTATTATCAACAATTATATCATCAAATTTTATCTCAAGTTTTTTTTTTATGTACAATTACCCAATTTACAGCGGTTTAGGAAGACAATATAATTTTACATCATCGAAGGGCCGCATTTAGTAATAATTAAAATAGATCTTTTATAATGAATAACAACACAATTACCTGGCAAAAATAATTAAAAATCCAATCGACTTTAAAATAAATTAAATTGGGAATCAATAAGTCAATAACATTATTATAAAAGGCGTGATACTATATGTAGTCATAAGATAATTAAAAGGGATGAAGCTTTATATTTTAAACACCACTGTTTTTCATATAAGTATTTAATAAATAAACTATTGAAGGCACTTCCGAGCAAAACATAATTTTGTGGATGGATCATAGAGCAGTTAAAGAAGCTAATTTTATAAATGATTTAAAACATCCCGTGCTTAGATTTGTCGGAGGAAAAGTCTCTTTGGAAATGGAAATTCCAAAACTTTTATGGTTGAAAACACATCTTCGTCAGGAATGTTGGGATCAAGCGGGTGCATTTTTTGATTTGCCTGATTTTTTAACTTGGAAAGCTACTGGCTGT